CACTGATTTGAGCGGCCCTAGGAAGCGAATGGCGGCGGAGCACCCGCTCGTAGCACGTGTCTCGCGCGGTTCCACAACAATGGTTGGCGGTACTTGTAAAAAACGCCTTTATCAAGGGGCTTTACCTATACCTATCTTTAAACTAACCAAGCATCAAGGGGAACGTAAGTACACGCGCTTCACGTGCTGGCGTCGGTATTCTTTTCTGAAGCAAAAATCAAACAAACAGCACTCTGCACATGCGTTCGCCTGCGCTTTGTTATAATTATTTACTTAGAATGTATTATACAGTGAATGCGACCGCGTGAACTGCGTACATTCCCGGCGTTGGCTTTCCTTTTATTGATCAAAAGGCCAACGTAATTAGCGCGAACAGAAACGTTACTTGATGCAGGCACCCAGCTTTTATTATGCATTGTTCTACTACAACCACGTGATGAGCACGCGTGAAAGTATTAGAGCCCATAAAACCTCCAGGCTGCTACTACCTATCACAGGTGCATTAGATGTGCGCGCAAACATGTGCTCAAGGCGCCACTGATAAGTCCCGCTTTTGAATAAAAAATTTGGCATGCAAATATTTTAGCAGCATGCATGTTGAAAACTGGGTTGTGTGTCTATCGTGTGCAGTAGACACGGAAAACTAATGCACCAATATCTATTGAGTACATCAGTACCTTGTTTTCTTGTTTTGTTTTCCGAATGACCTCAGTGGGAGAGAGTAATTATTGCGCATTCTTTTTTGCCTCTAATGGTATCTTTTTGCAATCCATTGCTTTCATTTGCTGGTGCCGCCCTGATGAGGTTCCTAATTTCAGGCGTCACGGAGGCGGAGTGCAAGCGCAGGTGGCGACTGATTCGCGACAGATACGCCAAGGAGTCCAAAGGGGCAAAAGGCAAAAGTGGTGCCGGCCGGGAAGACGTGACGCAGCCGACATGGGTGCTATACAAGTTCCTCGGATTCTTGGATGGGCAAATTCACCGCAGAAAGTAGGGACAAACATTAGCCCACACACTTCAAATCGTGAACATGTTTGCGATTGTAATGATTAATCTGGTGGTAGGTCCATGGTTCGTGCACCTGCGTCGAGGGCCACGAACACTGGCCGGACCAACGAGCAAAGTCCAGGTGAAGGCTCCACAGCACAAGGCAAGTTTTTATAAGTGATGGTACCTGTACAGAATCTGACGAGTTGAAAGCTCCATTATATTTCTCCGTTTTCAAAAGAACTATGCTCGGAGGTGCATTGCTTTCATTCTCAAATTTTTCGTGCCTCCCTCGATAAGCAGAGATCCTGATGGAGGTCTACAATAGAAAAGGAACCCCTGCTGCAGGAGGAGCGTCGGGGACGCCTGAACCAGGAAGGGAAGACGTACTGTGGCATGAGATCATATATTTTATTTAACAATTCCCATTGATAAGCATTTTTGTATACATTCTAATTGAACCGCTTTACTCCTATTACTGTTGCCAAAAGCGATTTGGGTATGTTTCGTGTCAAGTTTAACCCCATAACCGTTTTTTTTTTTTTTTTTTTTGTTCTTTTTTTGTGGGGAAGCTTTTTTTGCTTTTCAAATCAAATTTTTAGCCTCATTTGTTGGCAGAGTCGCAAAGTAAGCCATAAGCGAGCTTGGGCCATCCACGACGGTCCAGTGGTAAACTTGGGAAGGGAGACGAGCTACACTCGTCTTGAATGGGCTGGGAATAGCTCCACGTCTACGAGTGAGGCTCATTCAAAATAGATATGGGGTTAAAAGAAAAGTTGATTGGCATGTTTTACAATACATGTGCTTCGGAGATAGATTGCTAACAGGCTCCTGGACACCGAAGCTGGATTGCTGTCCTGACCTGCTTCCATTGCTTCGGTCCAGTTGATAAATCAAACCTGTTTGCAAAAATTCCATAAAAGTTACTGTCTTATAGCATGCAGCGCTGTTTGGAGTGTCTGCTTCTGTGTTCTATGTAAGCAATTTCCTCGACAGGATTGTGATGACCTCGAGCCCTCGGCTACATGTTCCTTGCTGATGCACTTGGAGGAGAGGGGCGAGACACCGAATGTGGCGCAGCTGACCCCACCCCTGGAAGGCCCAGCAGCATCACACGAGGATCCTCTGCCTCAGGCAGGTCGTTCAAGTCAAGCCAATGGAGCAGCGCCTGCTGCTACGAAGAGGCCCGCGTCTCCTGAAGGGCCAAGACCACCGGCTCCCAAGCGGCGTGCCAGGTCTAGCGCCCAGCACATCCGGACGCGAGAGGAATCCGAGCTCCTGAGGGTGCTCGGACAAACTTCGAGCGCAATGGCAAATTCATGCACAAGGCCGCACATGGACAGCAGTAATCCTGCCATCATGGCATTTGCACTGAGCATCCGCCATGAATTAGCATTGGTGCCTCAGCACCTGCAGGCTTCAGGAAAGTTTGAAATACATAAAATAATTTATAAATTTCAGCAACAAGGTCACTTTGACGAGTGTGAGCATTAGGTTGGCAGCTGTATAGGTTCACAATTTCTTTCGTTCGAGTCTTTTATGTTTGTTTGCAATTTCATATAGCATTTACTTTTGGCACAGTCATGGAAAAATACCTGCTGCCAAACTGTGGTTTCATTTCACCTTCATTCTATAACCTTTAGTTACATTCATACTTGACAATAGAAGCGTTAACTATTACCTCAAAGTTTTGGAAGAAAACAGCAGGAATGACACTTCTAATAGTGTATGATGCGCACAGGCACAGAACAAGGTTTTCTGTTACAGTGTCATAAGACCACACTTTTTAATACAATAAAAAAGTGTGAAAGTAAACGGACACTAGCTCAGGTCCAAAATGGCCGCTCTGCTACCTAGGAGAACTAAAGATGTTCGACTCGCGCAAATAGGACCCTTCTTTTTTATTTGGCATGCTTATATCTGTTGAGATAGTTGGTCCTTGTGTCCGAGTAGCACACCAATATCATCCAAATGTGGTTAACAGCAACATCTACCTCTAACGGCAAATGTGGCTCTTAACGACACTGTTCAGACACAAGGACCAAGTATCTCAATATATAAAATAAGCATACCAAACAAACCAGGTTCCCTTTCGCGTGACCTGAACATATCAATACCCCTTTCGGACGGCATTTTAAAGATCCTTTTCACTAAGCTCCTTTTTAAAATCGAAGAACCAGCGCACGCCGTAGAGCACGTGCGCACTCAACATCGTGAGCAGATTAGCCGATTTTATAAAGGAGCCTAGTGAAAAGGATCTTTAGAACGCCAACTGACACAGGGTGGAAGTAAACACAGGCTGTGCCGTAAACACCTAGCCTGTGTTTACTTCCACCCTGTGTCATTTTATAAGAGAATATGGTCTGGACACTGCATTACAAAACTTTGTTCTTTGCCTATGCACATCCTTCCTGAGCAGAAGTGAAGGCTGTGTTGCTTTTATCACAAATGAAACCTTCAGTTAAACATTTCCCTGGTTTGTCCAGTCACTACTTTGTTCATGTTTTAAGCTGTTCTCACAATAACTTGTACCAACTGGATGCTTCCTCAGTATATGCTAGGCATATTTTAAATAAGAGGAACAGAAAAGACAAATTCATAAATGTTTGTGAAAAAAATTTTTTTTTTGTATGAGCGTTTGTTAAGTTAAACTTGTGTTCTAGAAGTCTTCTGTCCAGGTGCATAATATGTTGGCAGGTTTGAACACAGCTAAGGTGCGTGCAATATGACAAAGGCTTATTTTGAACAAGCAAGACATCACTGATGTAAAAGTGTGCAATATGTTAAGTGCAGGTTTTTGAATATGTTTGCAGTGTTCAACAGCAAAGTATTATTTAGAGCTGCATCATTTTACTGTGATAAATACTGTGACCTTGCATACTCCACATGTGCTTTTGAATAAATTACCTGTACTGTACTGCTCCAAAGGAATTGCAGGTTATCTCACTGCAAGTTTATTTCCTGCAATTTTACATGGCAAATATATACAGGCAAATCCAAAAGCATTTCACAAAGAAAACAAATTGCACAAAACAAGGGCTGAAACACACTCAAATCTCTGTTGTGCCTTCCTTCCAAAGGTTTTGTGAATGCCGCCTCACCATTACACATTACAGTCCTAACAATCCACCTACCGTATTTACTCGCATAATGAACACAGTTGTTTTCCCGAAAAATTGACACATATTTGGGGGGCAGCGTTCCTTACAGAGGGTAAAATTTTTGCATTTACACACTTCGTTCAAATGTTATTTTAGGTGCCAATATGACATGGCAGGATCCTGTGGCACGTCTTCACTGATGGAGGCACACCCATGGCTGGTCATGAGCGCACCACAGTAACCGTGCTCTTTAAATAGCAAACCATTTTTAGGGCGCTTTTGGCACGCCCTTTGCCGAAGAGAAAGCGCCCTACGAAGCTCACTCAGCACGGAGAGCGACGCAACCGTTCTTAGGCCTATCCACTTTCACAATAACACTGTCCGAAAGTGGATAACAGACGATGGCGTTTTTGTTGACATCAGTGCATCAGATAGACGAAGCATGTCCGGGGCTGGGCAATTCCTCAACCCCATCATCACTACGCATGCGCACTGCTCGGTTTCACGGTTGATCACATCTGCAACCACGCACTGCAGCCATTACAAGAGCGGCTTGGCTTTGCTTAACTTGGCGTGGCCTCTTGGCGGCAAAAGAAAATTGGCGGGCTTTGGTGGATAGCCGGCTAAGTCGGACGCAGTTCAAGACTTATGGAGCCAAAAATTAAAAATGTGCTGATTACACGAGAAAAAAAAAGTCAAAATATTGATACCTGTTGTGGAGTACGCGAGTAAATACGGTATAGTCGGTGACAGGTCAAGAACGAAGTGGAAGCTGCTCCCACCCCTTTCCACTTCAGCGGAGCGAACAGTGGAGAGGAGCTCACCTCTCGCGCGGTCGCTCTGCCGAAGTGGAAAGAGGTGGGAGGAGCTTCCACTTCGTTCTTGACCTGTCACCTACTATAGTCGGGCATCCTAGGCATTAGGTGCTGCCGGTGCCGCTCCCCTCAACACCATATTGTATTGCCATGGGACCTCGCCACGACGGCTGCAGAAGTACTTCATGTACTTCTCACGGACACTTTTGGCAACTGTCGCATGCGTGTTAAAGCTGACACGCCCCACATCCGAGAGAGCAGTGCCGTCAGCACTCTCAACCCGCCAGCGGCCGTTGGTGATCTGGCCCGGGTGACCTTCCTTGTCAGTGTCAACGTACCCAGTAGGGCAGTAGAGGCGCTCCCCCCACTCACTCTCGTCCGATGCCCTGAGATAGTTGTGGAGGCTGACACATGCCCAGACAACGGCCTCCAAGGTCTTCGCGGACACCTGGATTGGTTGTCTGAATATGCGCCAACGCGCCACAAGTATCCCAAAGGTATTCTCAATGACGCGCCTTGCTCGAGAGAGCCTGTAGTTAAACACTTTCTGTGGTAACTTCAGGCCCTTACGAGGAAAGGGGCGCATCAGATTTGTGAGCAGGGGAAACGCCTCGTCCCCCACAAACACAAATGGGAGCTTCGTCCTTGTGTCGGGCAGGTGCGCTGGCGGAGGCAGGCCTGCTGTGTCCGACAGGATCCGCTCGCCCATCTCGGAGTTGCGGAACACACCGCCATCGCTGTACCGCCCAGGCTGCCCGACGTCCACCAGGGTGAACTTGTAGCTCGCATCGCAGCAGGCCATCAGCACAATGCTGTGAAAGCCTTTGTAATTGAACGTGTCGGAGCCTGCACCTGGTAGAGCCTCAATTGCCACGTGCTTTCCATCCAGGGCGCCGATACAGTTCGGGAAGTTCCACTGAGTGCTGAAGCCTGCTGCGATGCGCTCCCACTGGGCAGTATTGGGTACCTAGAAAAACGGGAGTCCACAATAAATTAAATGGCATCAGCAGCTAATGATTAAGTTTTTAAAAGCTTCAAGTTGTGGAACTGTATGACTGCATATTTTTTGGAGCTTGGCTTTTCTGCTAGCTGTTGTTTAAACACTTGAAGAGCATAGGGCCGGCTATCAAGATCAAACAAGTGGGTTCCTCTGAAATTTTCATAGTCAACCATTTGTATAAAAGCTGCAGCACATATTAAACATGCCCTCTGAATGTATCTGTAACCATGTTGCCACAATATTATTCTGGTGTGAATTGATGAAGAGCTCGCATCCCCATCAATGGTTGCTGCTCTTCTAACAAGGGTATGATGTAACCTAATTCGGGACTGGAGCATGAAAGAGAAAAAACTTATACATGGAAGAGGGTGAATGAAAGGGAAGACAAAACTCGGCTAAATTAAGTGGTACTGAACTTGAGAAAAATTTAGACATTTATGTTTCTTTGTAATGCGAAATTAGAGCGCAACTCTTAAGGTGTTCCGATTTGAATAGGTATTTTTTTTCTATCTGTAAATAATGCATAAGTACACACCACTTATTCAAAATAGGTAATTGCGTGCCCTCTATAACACCTCCGTACCCCTCTGCCCTCCTCCCCCTCAGTACCCTCCCCCCCTCCTCCATATCGTCTTCTTTCCTCTGCACCCTCCTCCTCCTCCCTCCCTCCTCTGAATAATATAGAATATTATACTTTTTCTTCCTCCTCCTCCGGTTATGCTGACGCCGACGGTGATGGCGACGCCACGAAATGCGGGAATGGGCGCCTAAGAACTGCGCTCTAAAAACACTTAAGTTGTCTTTCTTTTGCCCCAGGACCACGAATATCTAAATTATTTTTCAATCTAGAGGGTCTCACTATCTGCCTAATAAGCAGCTATGTGCCCAGCGAGAGCACCAATACATCTCAGTATCTTTATTCTGAAATACTTTTTTGAGCATTTCTGCCCAGCCCTGCTGGTGGGAACCGAGACCACAGTCGAGGCTATGGGGCTGTAACTTCAGGATCGTTGGGGACTTGACAAATGTGCGAGTCATAGCCCATTAAACTGTGGGACGAGGGACAGCCCATGGCTTCGACAGATTTCAAAATTATTTGCCGGCCCTTTCTTAAGGGTGAGGAGGATGTAGGACTCAAATGTACATGACAGGCGACGGGTTCAGACTTTTGGCTTCTTTGGAATTTGACTGAAATAACAACTGTCCCCTATTGTGTACACAATGTGCATATAATTCGTAAAGTGAAATAAATAGTATTCTATTACAAAACCTCTCCCTAAAGCCACCTTCTTCGTGCACCACCTGCCAAGCTTCCACCTCAAGGAACAAGACAACATGCAAAATCAGTTGGACGAAGCAGTCCACCATGGAGCGCCACCTCCCGAACAAAGCTGTGCCACAGCTCTGATCGCTTCGCATGAAATTTCTGTTCAACATTTGTGCGTTGCTGTGGAGTGTGTAAACGCCAGAGGAATGTGAAATGTAGAGACATTCAAATATTTTCAAGCAAAATTCGCCTTCAAGGGGGTGATCAACACCCGACTGACGAAGTATATCGAAAGGCACTCACTCTTGGCAAACACTCAGTTCGGCTTCCGGCCCCACACGTCTACACAGGACGTCCTATGGATTTATAAGGACCTACTGGAGAACCCCCAAAGGGTCAGGCGCTCTGCATCGTCATATTGTAACTGAACGGGGGGCTTTGACAACGTCACACACGCTAGCCTACCTCGAGGGCCTGAACGGTGTGCAGTGCGGCAAAAGAATTTACAACTACATGAGAAGCTTTCTGTGAGGTGACAGGCCACTCTGATGCTCGGCACCATCACGTCCCAGTCAATCACCTTGGCCAAAGAGGGACGCCTTAAGGCGTCGTGCTGTCCCCACTCCTGTTCAACCTGGCCATGCGAGATGTCCCGGCAAAGCTAAACAAGATACCAAGCATCGAACAAGCCACCTATGCTGACGGCGTCACCATCTGCTACAAGACGGGCAGCGATACCGAAGTCGAGGAATGGCTGCAAAGGGCAGTGAATGCAGTCGCGGCGTATGTGAAGAACAGGAGGCTCGAGAGCGCTCCGGAGAAATCGAAGCTGCTTGTGTTCCGCAATCCCTGGAAAAGATCCATTAGGATCATCAACATCAAACTCGACAACCAACCGATACCAAAGCCTAGCATGGTCCAGATCCTAGAGCAGAATATTTCCCAGGGCAGAGGTACCTAACATGTCGTGTGGACACAGGGCTACATAAGACGCAGGGGGAACGAGGCGGCTTACGCCACGGCCCAATGTTTACTTCCCAAACGGGCCTTCCCCTCCCGCTGCGACGATGCTGACGACGAAGCATCATACTCCGAACGACTAAATGCCGCACGACTCGCCAGGTGGCGATTCCCTCTTCCATATAAGAATCTCTCGAAAGAAGAACACGTTATACGAAGACTGTAAACGAATTCACAACCAGCGCCAGACAGACTCAATGCGTGGTACCCGTCGTCCCTCCCGTCTCCCGCATGCACACACTGCGGGTGCGAACGAGCCGAGGCTCATCTCGTCGTGTGGGCCTGTCAGAAGATCCGAGGCCTAGTGCCATTCGCGAATCCGAAGACGGAACAATGGGAGGCCGCGTTACGCAGCAAGGACCTCAACCAACAGCTACTGCTGCAACGAGAGTGGCGATAGCGTCCAAGGCCGGTGGAGCCCCCGAATAGGGCAGCTACCCATCGTTTCCCTTTTTTCTATATTCTTATTGGATTCAATAAGGGAGGTTTTTAACAACAACAACAACCACACTCGTCTAAAACTTGAGTGCACAAATCGTCTCTTGGGAATGTTTACTGCACAACTAGGCTGGTGCACCATGGACGTAATGGGGCACAAAGAAAACAGATATTTTGGTGCTAGCACCGATCTATGCATGAGCATATAGAAAAAAAAAGGAAATATGCCAAGAGCATAATTATACTGTGATCCGTAAGATTTTGATGCCGCCATGCAAATAGCTAGCTTTTATGGAGGGACGCCATTGTAGTGACTCTCGTGTCTTCTATCTGTCACATGACGGGTTATCACTAACCTCTGGACCGGGCTTGTACGCTAAGGTCAAGGGTCCATTCAGCTCTCCCATTTCACATTGACGCAAGCATTTGATTGCAGCTGAATAGCGGTGGCTAGCCATGCCACGGGCAAGATGCCTGGAAGATGGGGGCCCCAGTGAAATTATGGAATGGTACAGTTGTCACAAAAACTGTGTGAAACAATCTTGACCTGTGCAGATTTCTTAAAAGGGCCTGTTCATAACATGATGAATCTGATGTTTATACTGTGTCGACCAATACTGCACAAGTGCGATAAAAGTGCTAACCCAACGCAGCTCTAACAAAATGAATTTGCAATTTACAGCATCCCTATTGATATTGTGTCGGCACGAAGCCAAGACACGGTGGGCAATTAAGCGGTGGCCAGCAGAATCTAACTACCTCTTCCTACACCTATAGAAAAAGTGGGTATATCCTGTCACATGATTGAGTAGTTAGAACGGTAACTGCTCTATACTCTGCTGCACTAACAATGTGCAGTGCGGCCAGAGTTAAGGTGCTCTTGCGCCACCCAGAAGGGTAAACACCACTCTGCACGGTGACTCTGCAGCGTGCAGATCTAAACTGACAGTTTCTGCTCACATGAGGAAGAGAGAGGCGAAGTTTATCCTCTTCATTAACTTACAAATGTTGTGGCTTTGGCGGCACAGCACGCTGGAGAGACAGAGTGCAGGATAGCGCTTGCCCGCCATAGCTAAGCGCTCCAGTGGCAGTGTGCACTTACATTGTATGTCGCTTTGCTGTGAACCTGCATTTTACTTCTTTATTTTTGCTTTTGCCGAGCATCTACATTTTACGTCACATTGTGGCTAGTGAAGATGGCGGACGTGTTCAGTTTTCAAACTGGAACAATCTGATGTGACGAGATGTTTCATAATGTAAATTGAATAAAAGATTGTTGCACAAAAGTATGCGTGGTTTCCAGCAGAGCTTTTGACATTGAGGGCAAGGCAGGTGGTGAAACTGTTGGTTAAAAATGTTATACAGTGGCATACATTTTGTTTGTTCACTCAAAACCACAGATTTAGAAAATAGAAATGTCTTTTGGCAGCAAAGTTTTTCTACCTTAAAAGAGGTGAAAATGGGGTACCTACAGGGCGATAGAGGGGTTCCAATACTCCACGCAGGGCCTCGCAGGTCTCTTGGATGATCTCACTTGCGGTAGACCGCCCTATCCGAAAGGTCATCGCACAGATGGCCTGGGATGCTCCATGAGCAAGGTACCTGAAATGTTAACAAGCAACTGTAGCCTAGACAAATGCAAAATGACTGGTTGCAACTGCAGAGGGAGTGGTTATATTATAAGCATTATACTACATGTCGCAAGTTGTATGTGATGCGGGCAGAGGCATGTGCATGTGGCTTCCGAAAGCACCTAGTATGATCACTCGCTCAAAACTTTCTAACAAATTAACTAAAGTGACGTGAGGCTCCCAGGCATCAAACCTAGGGCCCTTTGCGTAACAGCCAAGTGCATGAGCCACTCGGCCACGCATGCGGCAATATTTAGGTCTCTCTGTTTACTGTACCCCTTTTGAAAGCAATGTCTGCTGTGCTTTCAAACACCATTGTTTCGTTTCATGTTCGCTAAATTGAACCATCGTGAACAAATCCACTACTATTATCTATTAAATTATTAGTCCTTAACAACAGCTGAAATTAAGAAATCAGGATTTTATTCTTCCCTCGGCCAAAGGTGAGGGGACGTTGATTGCACCCCTTGGACGAATAGGTATGGGCATATTTTTGAAATAGTGCTCACGTCTTGTGTGACAGAACTCGTTAGTGGAGCAGTAGCTTTGACATACCTGATTGTCAGGGCCAACCTTTCAGCTGGTGGTATGGGCTCCCTCCAGAAGGTTGTCTCCTTCTGTAGGCTGGGGCCGACCAGCGAGAGGAGGTGATCGAATCTGCAGACCAAGAGGTTTTAGTGCTATTGCAATAACCATGAATGCCTCGAGACCTATAAACCAGGGCATTTCGTAATTGTTGCAAACAAAAATAGGAGGCTCTGCTGTCTTATTTTGGTAAGATGGCGACCCAACAGTTGCTGTGCATTAAAAAGAGAAAGAAAAGTGTCAATTTAAGTGGATGTACACAGCATGAACACGACATCCGTCCTTTTCTGCAATTTTCTAAGACGACACATTCAGGAGCCACAACTTCAAATCCTTTGAATAGTGCTCAGAGTAAGCGCGGTCAGCCACATTATTTGGATGATCAATAACCTTACAATTTTTTTTAAATATATGAAATACAGATTGCTTGTTTGTGCTATTCGCACTATGGTGCAGGCACACAATGTACAGAGTCAATAACCTCACAATTGTTATCTTTCATTACTCTTACTACATACTGTGATCGAATTATGCACTTTGTAAAAAGTAATGCAATTGCTCGAGCAGGACTAGGCAGAGAAAAATCGAGGTTTGCAGGCGCGCTAAACTAAAAGTTTGGTTCTCTGAACTGGTGAAAGTGTGTTAAGTAACATTAGAATGTAAATATTGTCTGGAGACCGCACTCCCAGTTATAACCTTCAAATGTTCTCAATAGGTCTACCTAACACTTACTACTTTTTAAAGATAAAAACCTTGTGCCGTCATCCCAAATTCAACATTTCGCAACTACATCAATGACATGCACTTCTATTGCATAAATAATTTCGTGTTATAGATACGCTCGCGCACTAGTCAGACGGAATTCCTCATTTGACTCATACATGAACACTGCTGAGGTGTTCTGAAACGTAACGCCGTCACTGAGTAACGCCGTCACTGAAATCAAACCGCCGAGTAATTGCCGACGACCTAAAACAGAAGTGCGCGTGATTGTAGGGAAGCCAAAACACAACTCAGTAATGCTATGCGACCAGCAAATCATTTTTGACACCTCTTGCAACTTGCAAGGCAGCTAGTAATCCAGCTGTATTTCTAGCGGTAGCCACAAGGATAGTGCCAAACCCTACAAAATCCGGTGACACCGTGGCAGCAGAAAATTAGCGATGCAAATTCGGCACCCCCATGCACCGCAGAACCCTACATGAAAAACTGGGACAAATCCTTCTTACCAAAGTTTCTTCTACATACTCACCTCTGCCTCGTCATTCTGAAGTACAGAAAGAAGTCTTGCCCGTTGTCCAAACGCATGTCGCGAACTAAATGATGGTATTCACCGAATGTTTCGCGGGAGCGCAGGAGTGATCGAACCCACTCGCGGCCGGGGTGGCGCCGTCGCTGGAGCAAGATCATGGCTGTGGTAGCCCGCACAACCAGGGGCCAGATCGTCTCACTGCCGGCCTGCGCAATGTAGCCCCGCACGCAGTCCAGGAAGAGATTCCTGAGGTTTTCTGTTTGTTGCAACCTCGACAACCCGGGGGGACACGGAAAAGTCGCGACGCTACCGCTGGACGCCGCCATGTTCGTTGTGATCATAGTTGCTTGACTTCATTCGCTCTGCAAGTCGCGGTTTCGATTGGTACGCCGCAAGAGCCAATAGCAAGCTCCTATTGGTTCTTGACTGCGGCGGACGGCGCTTCGACGCAACTGTGTGTACAAGCTCTCCGCAAGCGTACTCCGCATCGGTCCGCAGTCGCGCCAGTCGCGCTTCCGTAGCCGAACGCACCGCAGTCAAACGCAAGTGTCTGAATTGGCCTTAACTGTATATGCTTGCGGAGCAGAGTACCGCAATGGTGCCATTCTGGAGCCAAGCACTGCGGGAAGCCACGGTCGGTTTTTGCAGGGGCACGACGGCGCGGACGCGAGGCGGCGTGCTGCGGCGTGCTGCGACGCGCTGCGGAAGGAAAATAGTGCGGCGTGCGGCGACGAGCCGCGCATGCGCCGTGATCATTGTCCCATCGTTTCCTCTCTCCCTTTCGCAAAAAGTGCACCCGCGTACGCACCCGCGGGTCGCGCGTGAAGTGAAGTCGTCAAGTCGCTGTTGCTGGGACGCAGATAGCGTCGTGAGCCCGCTGTCTGCCCAACTTTTGGAGGACCTTTCCCCTCGAGCGATCGCAAGAAGAGCAAGTGCCGCTGCTGAGCTTCTGACTTTTTTTTTTTTTTTTTTTCAGCAGATAGTTTATTTGATATTATGTAGACGGAACAGTGCTTTACCTTCGTGCGTTTCAATTATATGTAAATTTGAGGAATGTCGAGCACCCCCCCCCCTCCCCCTTTCATGCTAAAATAGTGTTCAACTTTTTTTTTTTTCTTTTTCATTCGAAGTTTTTGCCATTTCACGAATTCGAGGCGCCCGAATTGAGAACTGTTGGAGGCCTGAATTTTCGCATGCTTTCAAGTTGGGCTAAATTTTGAATTAGCTTGAATCGCAAACATTAGGGGCTTGCGAATAATAAATGTTAGACGGTGCTCCGAACTCTGGGAGGTGCCGCAAGGTGCAAATTGCCAAATATAAAAAAGTCTACCGACGTTCCACTTTCATTGCGGATAAGTCTTTGAAAACGCAGTCCAATTCGTTGCAGGGACCAGAATGATGCCGAGATTGACTGTTTTCCTATTGACCAGTATATTCCGCCCCGAGAACAGGGCGATAGAGGTCTGTCTACTTTCAGTGTGTGACACCAACCTACATCCCTCTTTCTCTTCTATTTTGAACATTTTGCTGAACCTATTAAACTGTTCTACTACCACGGACATGGTCCTTGAAGAAATTGCGAACAGGCACAGCACTAACAGTCTCCAAAACGTGTTTATCCACATAACTGCCTGCAGAAATCTTTTGGGTATTGTAAAAGGGCAGACAATATTTAAAAATGATCTCCTTAAAAAGCCAGACGAGGCGGCGTCTCACATCGTTTCTCGCCGTCGGAATCCGGTACAAGCTCTTGCCACTGTCTACGCGATTTGTGCACTTGGTAACACCACAGCCTGTCATTTTCACGGGGCTCTTTCTACGCGCATGCAAAATTTAATGCGGTAACCCTACTAAAAAAAATTGTATGAATTTTTTTCTGATATGTTTATTGGACACCTTTTTCATATCAGAACTTATTATTTCATATCAGTTTCCTATGCCGCATATCAGTTACACGAGGCTAGGTGGCGCTAGGTACCGCACAATTCATGTGCTGCAAAAATATATTTATTTACTCACGCCACCATGTAGATACATTACGCATACCACTAGCATCAGTAATTGAACAAATACATTGAGTACATACACATACACGGCACAACAAACATGAATACAACAAAGCACACCCAATAACTACTTCGGAGCTCTGCTTTTCCGCCTTTTATACAGGTTTTGTAAGTACGAAGTTTTTCAGTGACTACCTTCGCAATAAATAATATTTTCAGCATGTTGGATTTTTTTCAGTAATGCCGTACCTCTGAGAACATTTAGAACTGCTCAGGGGACGAATCTCTTAATAAAAAGTAAACGCTCATGCCGTAATTTTTTGAAAGCCAGTAAATCAAGCCACTCCACTGCGGTTCCAAGCCACATGTTTGCTTTCCCGCGCGGCACGTCGTATACTGAAAAAATTATATGAATTTATTTCTTATATGTGTATTGGACACATTCATATCAGTTGGCATATGTTGCATATCAGTTCTTATATGTCGCATATCAGTTTTAGGGTATTTCATATCAGTTCTTATATCGCATATCAGTTTTTGGATATTTCATATCAGTTGGCATATGTTGCATATCAGTTCTTATATGTCGCATATCAGTTTTTGGGTATTTCATATCAGTTCTTATATCGCATATCAGTTTTTGGATATTTCATATCAGTTTCATATGTCGCATATCAGTTTTTGGATATTTCATATCAGTTCTTATATAGATTCATATACTTTTTCTCAGTAGGGAAATGACTAGCGGCTGACGAAAACGCCGTACCCCCGCTTTCAAACGAGAGCTCGCCGACTCGCCAGGATGACCGGATGTGCCGGTCGCGTATCGGTATCGCGTATCACTCCGCGAGAGCCGCAGGCGCGGGGAAAGCGATCGTCGTCCGTGTTGTCTGCTTCACATACCCTGAAAACGGGTGTCCCAAAACATCGCTCGCGTTATAAAAAACGGGATTTTACTGTACCCAGTTGATACACATAATGTTCAATAACTTAGGAAGCTTTCGGTTTCTTCGATTTTTGTCGAGGATCTATATTTTGCGAACGCAAAGCGAAAAATATGTCTCCCCCGAAACTCGGCGCTCTGGAAGGCCGCTTTCCCGCACGAGGGTCGGATCCAGTTCTGCCCACGTGACCACTCCTCTGCCAATACGGAGATGGCGGCGAAAGGAAACGGAACGCGATACTCTGGCTCTGCAAGCAGAGCCTATTCGCGTCTCCAGCTCGACGCTCGCCCTCCCGCGGCGAAAACGGGAAGCTCTCTAGTGAGGGTCCCCCGACTCCCCTGCTCAGCGGGCATGGCGGAACTGCTCGCGATCATGGCTCGCGAAATGTCGTTTCCGAATGTAAACAAGACTCTTCACTGTCCCAACGTAGTGCTGCAGCCGGTATGGGATTGTACCTTACTGGAGAGATTTAGTATTGCGCATAGAAGCAAACAGAAGCGGTATGCGTTTGCGTTAGAGTTCCGTGCCCCACGTTGTGCGTGCGCCTCATCGCCATGCGCCATCCAAGACCGCAGTTTCGGGCTCCGCGCACGCGCAGTGTAGAACACGTAAAGCTAACGCAAACACACAGGGCTTGAGTTCGCTCGTATACGCAATATTAAAACTCACAACTGTTTCACCGGCTTCCAACGCCAACGAAACGTGCAGCAGTGACCAGACGTGCAAGCAGGTAGGCGTTCCTTCGAACTGGAAAGGTTGAGATTGGCAAAACAACGGCGAGCAAATACAAAAGTAACTAAATGTTATGAAAAAACTAACAATTAAAAAAAAGCTTTTTTCTTTTTTTCATTTTTTCTTGGGGGGCATTTGGTTTGGAAGGTTATTGGCGGCGACTTTGGGCGTTTCGCCGGTTGTCAAAAGTCGCGGCTTTGAGCACAATATACTTTATTCACAATTAATGTAATTTTACATGGATTTCTCACATTCGCTAAAATGTTTTCATTGATTTTAGACTATTTTTTTATTGGTAATTAAAATGCAGCAACTGAAACCAGTGATGATAATTAGCACAGTTTTTATTGTCATATTTCTTCGCGCGTTTAAATTAGATCATAAGCAACAAATTATATTAGAACTTGAAGAATTACTTATTCAAATATGTGACTTTTAATATTATTAATATTAATACAAATCGCGGCAAAGTATGCCTCCAATTAACGCCAAGATCGCGAGAATACGCTATTTGACAATAATAGTCTTTCCAGAAAGGTATAATTCTGTTTTCTTTTTTTAGCATATGAAAAACTCTGACATAGTTATCAAGATAGACAAACAGTCAAACAATGGGTGTAATATGAAGTCCTACACGTCACGCGGTGCTATAAACACACACACACACACTTCAGCTGTCTGACTCGGATTCCGTCTTTGGGTTGTTGCAGTGAGAGCAGCGTTAATTAGTTTATACGTTTCGTGGACATATTATAAAAATTAGAATTATTTTCTTATTCTTGTGCTGGAATAAGTGTCATTATTTCCCATGACAATTATCTGAGCGAGAGAAAGGCTGCGAGAACGCACAGATATCAGCACTGATTTTTTCAGCAACTACAAATATCACCCTGGATCGAACAATATGTCACAAAATAAAGTTTCCGCGAACAACTTTTCTAAGTAAATAATTACGATGTGAGACACATCTTGAGTCGTGAAATAATTCGAAATTAAGGCCTATGTCGAGAAATTAAATCCCAAATAGAGGTAAGTTTCGGTTTCGCTCCAGAATTAAAACGCGCATCCTTCCGTTAAAAATACGCTAAACACCATTCTTGTTTTCAGGTTAAAGGGGTAACCTGCGCTCATAAAACATTAGCTTCCTTGTATTACCAGAAATAATTTATGTCGCTCAGTGAAGCCAGCACACTAGACGGGCTCAACAGCGGCACGCATCTCTGACCCTCACTAAACCCGCCATCTTGGAAAATGAGTGGCGCCACCTATAGTTAGTTGGAGTCGCGGATACAGTTACTCTATGTAGAGTCTACAGGCGGCGCCGTGTTCGTCGGCGGCGAGACGAGCAGAAGCACCGCCGACAATGTGGATGAT